GCTAGTGTCAAAATTGGTAATAAGGGTGGAGAGGAAGCATGTCTGACCTCTGCCTCACAGGAATCAGCCTTGGGCTGATGGTGATTCTCTCCTCCCCCTTGTGAAGTTAGACGAAGTCAGACAACCCCGAGACTGTTTTTACAGTATACACGTGTCATACGTGTGTGTATAAACGTGTATGCACTTGCACACTTCTAGACTGTGTTAGTCGCCAATGAATCTATTCATTTCCAACTCATGGCGACCCGAGGTACGCAGAGTAGAACTTCTCCATAGGGTTTTCAAAGCTGTGAGTTTTTGGAAGCAGATCACCAGGACTGTCTTCCAAGGCACTGCTGGGTGGGCTTGAACCATCAACCTTGCAGCTAGTAGTGGTGCGCTTAACTGTTCACGCCACCCCAGGACTCCTGTGTGTGTATCTACATGTATCTGTATCTTTGACGTTCGACACAGTTTGTCCAGCTCGGTGCCTTTGTTCAGAGGCGCTTTCTTCTCCATCCCACACCATTCCGTCTTGCCTCGTCTGCAGAAGCATGGCCACGTCTCCTGACCGACTGCCCGCATGGTCTCTGCTGCGTGTCAGGAGCACGTGTCTGGGTTGGGGTGTCTTCCGCTGCACGTGGCCTCACCTGGGGTGCACAGCTGTACGCTGGGCAGAGTCAGTGGTAATGTCTCCTTGCTCCTCCTCCTCTTCTACTAGCTGTGCAGGTTTCTGGAACAACTCAACGTCTCAACATGGGCCGCAACGTGCCCAAAGAACTCTTCATTGTGTCTTACTTCCTGCAACACCATTGACTGGATTAGACTGGGCAGGAGGGATCCGAGAGCCTGGCCTCAGTGGTCTCATGCCGGGGCAACACGGCCAGCTGTCGGAGAGTAAGCGAGGGCAACCTCAGAGACAGGCAAGAGGTGGACCGGCAGCAGGGAGACACACAATCGCTGTCTGGACAAGGCACGCGGCCTTCTGTGCTGCCCCCACCCTGGGGCTCTCCGAGAGGAGAAGGCTAAGCAGAGGCCCCCGGACAGAGAAACATCCCAACATCAGGTGCTGTGCCGTCCAGGACATGCTGCTCTCTCCTTCTGACCTGGGATCATCCAGGTGCACTCTGCACAACAGAACCTTCATCCTGAATTCAGGTAAGGGCAGCTCTTAGGGACCATCTCCCCCGGTGGGAACCAAACATCCAGGCCCGTCAGGGGGTGTGTGCGTTGTCACACGACCGAGCCAGCCATGTGGGAGGTGGCAGCTCTGCGGTCCAGTCCGGGTCTCCCGACTCCTGGGCCAACCCTCTTTCCAGCATGGCACCAGTCTCCCAAAGGCCAACTGTGCCAGGGTGAGAGATCTTCTGAGACATCCTTTAAAAACACCGAGTAGCTACAAGCGGCCCAGATTACGCGAGGCATCAACAAGAGTAAAACACGCACCATGGCTTACTGACTCCTAAGCACCGGCACCGCTACACCAGGCTACGTCGCCTATTTTGGTGGACGCCCTTCCTGACGGGCTGCCCTGTCCTCGGGTTCTCGCAGAGGGGTTAAGGCAGCAAAGGAAACAGAGGGTCTGACTCTGCCCCGTCCCCAGATGTCCACCAGACTAATTAGCCCAACAGGGCACCGGTCAGGGGCATTCCTAGGACCTCTGCCCTCCCCCACCATACACAGGTGGGACCCCCACCCCACCCACCTGCCCAGCCTGGGTCTCTAACCTCACGCTATGCATTTCCCACAGTGGAAGTGCTGGGAGCCCGTTACATGTTGTTAGTAGTTGCTGAGTTGATTCCAACTCACGGCGACCCCATGTGTGCAGAGTAGACCCACTCAATAGGATGTTCAAGGCTGTCACCTTTCAGAAGCAGATCGCCAGTCTGTCTTCTGAGGAACCTCTAGGTGGGTTCGAACTGCCACCCACCGGCTGCTTAACTGTTTGCGCCACCCAGGGCCTCCCTAACTAACTTAAAAGGCGTGTCATTCACCACGGTGAGATGGGCACTCGTATTGCCCCATCTACAAAGAAATCACAGCTCCAAGAGGTGGATTCACTTGCCCAGTGTGCCCCAGATCACGAACTGGCCGAACAGGGAAGGGCACGGGGTCTGTGCCTCCTGGTCCTGTGTCTTTCTGGATGCAGTCTCCCTAACTCTGGGTCTCGGTCTCCAGCACGGGCCTGGGCCACTTCAGGCGTGTGGGAGGGCCAGAAGGATGTCTGTTTGGATCGAGCAGCCTCACTGATCTCGAGTGCTTTACTTAAACAAACTCTGGTTTCTGCACCCATTTACAAAACAAGTGACAGCGATATAAGGTGCCTGCTCACAGGAGCTCGGTCTTAGTTACCTCTCTTTTACCAACTCCAAAAGCATGTACTCTCATCATAAGAAACGGTTTTCATTGATGTCAACCAGACTGTATTCTTCTACAGAAAGAAGACAGAGTGACGAGGAGAAAAGCCGACTGAGGGTTCCCTTTTCCCCAGTCTCTTCCTCTAAATCCTCAGCTAGGTTCTCCTCCCAGTAAAACTGAAGCTGGCAATCAACCAGAAGGGAACACCGAGGACTGGGCTTCATTAAGCACAACAGAAATCACATTATTTTTAGGTGAAACTGTTACGATGCAGTGTTACTCGTTTCCTCACTGGCCCACATTCACCAGCCTGGGTGGCGACTTCTCTAAGCAGAAAAGGAGATGGTCCTCTGAGAACCATTTCCAAAAGTTAACCAGAGAACATGGTGGCCTGATGTGGCCTCCCGGCCTCCTCCTCAGCGGTCAACGCCAGCAATGGCTGAGCAGAGGCCGCCCTGAAGCTCAGGAAGGCGAACGTCTCGGGCACAGTGAGGTGCGTGCACAGGACCCAGGAAGCCCGTGAGCGCAAGGTGGCCAAGAGGAGGCCAGGTACTGGTCAAGAAGTTCCGTGAAGCCAAGGGGACTCGCTTCCTACCACTCTCCTAAAAGCCATTAGGTTTCAGCTTCATTATTTACTTTAAAAATGAAAATCCTTGCTTGCTAAAATAGGCAACCCCAAAGTCGCAAGGAACATGCAGTCTAACAAACTTGCATTTCACTAATACTAAAATATAACACAAAGTCAACTGCTGCTCCACCCACACGCTGGGACAAGAAGCAGGAGTGGAAGTGCCATTTGAAAACTCAACGATGAGAGGACAAGGGTAATCCAGGAGACCGGCTCCATCTTCCAGGCCCACGCAGCCATGTGAACAGAACTGCCCCCTTCCCGTTACTGCCAGGGAGCTCACCCAGCTTGAGGTTTTAGCACCACTTCACCTTTCCAGGGCACAGGATGCTATCATGTCGACACCTAAGTTCACTTTAGCACCACATTTCAGTGGAGTGGAGCAGCTGCATTGTCCCATGTCACAGATGAGGACACCCATCTGGTGAAAGAGCAGACTATGGCCAGAGGACCAGGGTGACAGGGCAGAGCAGGGACTGGCTGGACTCCTGGTCAGCCTAGCGCTCTGAAGTCGGAAACCACAAGCTCTCCAAGCCACTGAAGGCCCCGACAAAGGATGACACACACGTCCCTGTGACTATGAAAGAAAAGTTACTTTTTACAGAACAAATAAAGCCAATAAAATAACGTTTTTCTAATCCATCAACAACTTTCACACCCGAATACACTCGCGGGAAGCACATTTTAATTTCTGAAACGTATTCTCTAAGTCACCTTTTACTTATACCTTCCTCATTTCAACACACTTTTGATAAAAATTAGTAACTCCACCATTCCAGAGGCTGAACTGAACGGGGAACATCTGGCCCTGACCTCCAAAACGGCTCCTCTGCCAACTCCTGAAATATTTACTTTTTAAAACCATCAGGGCCAGCCAGCAAATTTAAATTACCATTTTCCGGGGAACTGAGTGAAAGCCTTTTTCTGGTGAAATTTCCTGGAAAGCGACATTATTTTTACTATTCATACCAGCGCCACAAACCCGTTCGGAAACATAGAGGGCAGAAATATGAATCAGTAACAGCAGACAATGAGGCAAGGGCACCTCAGGAGCGACAGGGGCCCTTGGCTTTCATGTGCTTGTGGGAGGGCACCCAGGAAACGCTACTGCTCCCGGTCACCTTGCCAGACCACAGACGCCTTCCCTGCCTCATGCCCCAGGTGAGAGCCTCTCGAGGCACTGAAGTGAACCCCAGCTGAAACTCACAGGCTACATCTGGCTGCCCCTCATGTGCTTGCATGCAGCGCACCTGAGCTGGAGTCGGACCCTGTGATCCTTCACTTCCAGCCTCTTACTGCCCTTCCATCCACCCATCAGCCTGGAAAGCCCACTCCTTTGTTGCACCCCCACCTCGGACATCTGGGAAAGACACAACAGGTATTTCTTCTATTTCCAAACTATCATCCACTGCTTAAAGCAGCCTACCGTACAAAACCATCTATCATTCTTTGCGGGGGGGGATAGAAAAAGCAGCCCATAAGGAATGTATTATGCTTGCCCAAAGAAAGGATCCTTAAAACCAAAAGCCCATCGTCATCAAGTCAGGATACTTACTGCTCCTTAAAATAGTTCAGATACATAAAGTCATAGCCTCTGGCCCCTCCACAGTGGGGGTTTGACAGAGGGCCACCCTTGTGTGGGTACGTGGTATGGAGGATTCCTGGTATGGAGAGGGGCTGGTATTGAGGGGATTAGTATGCAGGGTGCCTGTTATAGGGGGTACCTGGAATGGATGGTGCTTGGTGTGGAGGGGATTAGTTGGGGGGGGGGGTGCCTGGAATGGAGGAGCTTGTATGGAGGGGTCCTGGTATGGAGGTAGCTGTGTGAAGGGGTCCTGGTGTGGAGGGGTGCTGGTATGGAGGGAGCCTTGTGTGGAGGAGGGGTGCTGTGGAGGGGGACGGGTGTGGAAGGGGGCTGATGTGAAGGGAGAGTGGTGTATAGGGGCCTGATTTGGAGATGTGGGTTGGGGTGCTCTCTGGGCCCTGGAAGGAACCAGGTGGGACACCCCGAGAGTGGGCTCGGGGCTCACCGTACCTTTGCCCCGGGCCCCGGAGCTGCCGCTGCCTCCGCTGCCTGCACAGGACGCGTCCTTCCTGGGCCTCTTGCTCTGCGGCCTCACGCTGGACCTGAGGAAGTGGTGCTGGTCCTGGGGGGAGCCCTGAGGGGCGCAGGGCGCCGGGGGCCCAGCGCTACCGCTGCTGAGGGGCTGCTCGGCCTCCTTTGTGCCGCTCGTCTCCTCGGCCGCGTCCCCTCCGCCGGCGCCCTCTCCTTCCAGGGAGTCCTCATCGGCCGCGCGCTTGCCCAGCTTCTTGAGCCCGTCCTCCCCGCCGCCGTCTCCCAACTTCACTGTCATCCTGGGCGGGGGACAGGCCCGCGGGCGGCGGCAGGCCCGGGGCGCGGGGACAACTTTAGCCGCACAAATTCCCTCTCAACATGGCCGCCGTTGTTTGTTCCAATCCCC